GTTGGATATGAGGAAGAATTTCTTTACTGAGAGGGCTGTCGGGCACTGGCACAGGCTGCCCAGGGAGGTGGTGGAGCCGCCATCCCTGGAGGGGTTTAAGAGCCGGGTGGGTGTTGTGCTGCGGGACGTGATTTAATGATGTTGACAGCGCTGAGACAAAGGTTGGGCTCAGTGATCTTGGAGGTCTCTTCCAACCGAAGTTGTTTTGTGATTCTACGATCCTACAGACCGTCATCCCCTTCTACAACCTCGGTGTCCTGATCGCCCTCTTCTCGCCGCGCTGCTCCGACTCGCTGGCCAGCGTCCGCCAGCACGCCGTCGACTGCGTCTACTGCCTGCTCTACATCCAGCTCTGCTACGAAGGTCGGTGCCAGGGTTGGAGCCTTCTTCTGGGGTGGGTGTCCCATTACACCAGCTCAGAGGAGTAACCCATGAAGGCAGATTTGCTGGAGAAGCGGGGCTGGTGGAGAACATCACGGAAAGGTTTGAAAAGCTCCCTCCCAAAGCTTGAGCGCCAGCGAGCAGGTTTCTGAGCCTGACGTTCTCCCTCTCTCCAGGAGAGGTCAGTCCTCCACAGTGGATGGAGGCATCGAGAGGAGCCAAGCTCCTACAGCCCGGGAGAGGACTTTGGGTCCTGCTCCTTGCAGGGTGTTGTGGCTCCTTGCAGGACAAGCTCTCCTGGCCCTTGGCAGCAGCTTGGGTTTCTTGGCTCCTTCCTGAGAGCTGGGCCAGCTCGCGAGTAAAACCCAGCACGTGGAGGTCTCTTTCGGGTGTAAAAGAGGAGGAACGCTGCTCACTGAGCGCTCCCTTTGAATGCAGGTTTTGCCCGGGATCACAGAGACGAGATGGTGGAGGGGCTGAAAGCTCTGAAGAAAGGTCTGGAGGAGCCCGATTTCACCGTTCTCTTCCATACCTGCAACAACATTGCCATGGTAAGGTTAGGCTGGGCGTGAGGAAGAATTCCTTTCCTGAAAGGGTTCTCAGGCACTGGAAGGGGTTGCCCAGGGCACGGGGGAAGTCCCTCTAAGGCTGTAAAAGCCGGTAGATGTGGTGCTCAGGGACACGGGTCAGTGGTGACCTGGCAGCGGTGGGTCAACCGTTGGTCTCCATGACCTTGAAGGTCTTTCCAAATGAAAGGGTTCTGTATTTCTACATCACCTAAAAGCTAAGGTGGAGGTGATCGAGCTCAGCCCTGTGGGACCTGCGTGGGGCCCAGGGTGGAGGCTCTGGTAGGTCGTGCTCCTCAGTGGAAGCCGCTGGCTGAAGGAAGTCCTTGAGGTGCTGTCGTTGACTGTGCTCTCCTGCGGAGCATGGGGTGGTTGGCTCAAGAGCTGCAGCCGCCGGGCTCCTGGCTTCCTCCCGGTGTGGCAGCGGTGTTGGGAAAGCCGTTCAGTGAACCTTTACACTCAAAAGGGGCCAAATGTGGCTGGAATGACATTAACAGCGTCTGGGATCTGGTGGTGAGGGATGGCATAGAATCATAGAAGACCTTAAGATCATCATAGAAGATCTTAAGATCATAAAAGACCTTAAGATCATCCAGCCCAACTGTCAACCCCTTCCTTCCATGACCGCTAAACCATGTCCCGATGGCGTGAGGGGTGACCACTCTGCTCTTGAGAGCTGCACGGGTGAACTCCTCCGAGATGGCTGTGCCCTGTGCTGAGAGCTCTGCAGGCGCTGCTGCAGGAGGACTTGTAGCTGTAGAGAAGCCAGTGCTAGCTCTTCATCCTGGAAAAGCTGCCATTCCTCAAACACTGTCACTCTGGTGGACGTTTCCCCTGCTAACTTCTCTACTGAGCAGATAATTCCATCCTCGTGGCTGGAAAGCATGATGAGACCTGCAGGAGCATCCTCCCAGCGGCTGGGTGGTCGTCAGAGCAGAGTTAATGGCTTGGTTGTGGGGTCCAAGAGAGACAAAAACCTCTTTACACAACTCTGTTCTCTCTCCCCAGGTGATCGGGAAGCGCGTCCCGCCGGACCAGCTGATGAGCCTCCTGCTCGCCATGTTCGAGGGGCTGGCGGACCCCGATAAGAACTGCTCCCGAGCAGCCACCGTCATGATCAACTCCCTTCTCAAGGAGCGTGGAGCAGTCTTGCAGGAGAAGGTGAGCTGCTGCTACTGCTGCTGCTGCTTGGCCTCGGCACGGCCTTCGTGGTGCCAACGCGGCCCCACAGAGAGGCAGCTCCAGCTGGGTCGTGCTGCCTCCCTTTCCTCCCACGTACGCAGCCTGGTAACGTCCCACTGGCTG